TTCTGCAGTTCAGTTCAGACATGCTGATTCATGTGGAAGATTCTTCAAGGAGAGGGTAGTTTTCAGGGGATTGGTGGTGTGGGGCCCAAATTTGGGATTCAACAGATGTGAGCTCAAGTCCTCTGTCTGCCACTTGTTCCTAGCCTCCATTCCTCATCTGTGAAATGGGTCTAATAATTTCTGTACTATCTGCTTTAAAGAGTCATCAAGAATACCACAACTGAGATAATTACAAACATAAAGAACTATACAGATGTGAAGTATTATCATTATTCAAATTGATTAGAAGTCATGAAAAGTTGGACGTAAGTGGAACAATGGAAGAAACTGAATCCTAGAGAGGTCTCTTGCCTAAGGTCACATAGGTAGCTAGTAGCAGAGCCAGATTATCACTCATGAGGACACAAAAGTTCATAAAATTAGAAATGATCTGGAGCAGGAGTCTTTCTGGTGGTAGGAGAAATAGGTGTCTTCCTTCCTTCCTTCCTTCCTTCCTTCCTTCCTTCCTTCCTTCCTTCCTTCTTTCCTTCCTTCCTTCCTTCCTTCCTTCCTTCCTTCCTTCCTTCCTTCCTTCCTTCCTTCCTTCCTTCCTTCCTTCCTTCCTTCCTTCCTTCCTTCCTTCCTTCCTTCCTCTGTCTACATGAAGAGTCATACCTTTGTATGTGGGTGCTCTGCCCAAAGGAATATAAATTTCTTGAAAGTGAGCTCTGGAAAACCAGTCTTTGATGAAGCCCACTGGGATTCAAATGGAGCTACTTGACTATGACTTAAACTGAAGTCACTCTGGCTCTGAGTGATGGGCTAATAATGGGTCCCAGCCCAAGCCTCAGTTGATCATTGTTGTCCCAGAAACACTGAATGTCTTCCTCTGAGAGACTGATTTTTTTTTTTGACTAGGTAAAAGAGGCCAACTTTTGCCTCATTTCTTACCTAGCCTTAAATCACTGAATGGTTGTTGTCTCAGACAAACCGAGACCTGAGAAGGACCTTAGCTTAAAAAGCCAAGGTCTCCTGCTGCATCTGGGGCCATCTCCAGTCAACCTGACCTGTCTTGGCACTGGACTCAGATGACTCTGGAGGAGAGAATGAGGCTGATGACTTTACACAGCTTTGCCTCACTTAAATTCAATCCATTTGCAAGTCAAGACATCACCTTCCTGATGTCATTGGTCCTCTTTGAGAATGAAGGACAAACAATAACGACAACAACAAGGAGAAATAACTAGTGCTCAGAGTTCTCTACTCAGGCCCCACTCCTGACCCTGGAGGCAAAAGTTAGTTTTGATTCCTATATAGGATTGTCCTGAATTTGATTCATATAAAGGAATGAACTGGCTATAAATCTGAATTTAATTTAATATTTTCTTAATTATCTGGACTTAAGCAAGTGATGAAGAAAATGGTAATAATGAAGATTAAATTTATTTATTGATTATTTTTTATTTTATTAATTTATTTTGATTTATCAATAATCACTTCCATATGCTTTTGAGTTTAAAATTTTTCTCCCCCTTCCTCCCCATCACCCTTCCTAAGACGGCACACAATCTGTTATAAGCTATATATTTACATTCCTATTAAACATATTTTCATATTAGTGGTGTTGTAAGTAAAAATTAAAACCAATAGGAGGAACCATCAGAAAGAGGAAACAAAAGTCAGTGAAGACTAAATTTAAAAGAATATCCTGTGTGTTGGGGTTTGGGGTGATGGGAACCCTGAAATGCAAGGGTATGGGGTGGGAGGTCTGCCTTGAAAGAATTTGACCATTCAAGCCTTCCAGTCAAAGTAGCAAGTTTATTGGGACCGCCAATAGAAGGCTGTGAGATTCTTAGGGAATCTGCACAATTTAGTGGGGGTAAGATTGGTACTTATATACAAGAAAAGACTGTGAGAAGATCTGGATGGGACTAAGGACTGGTAAATAGCCTGGGGTGGGGCAGTCACAGACAATGAAAGGAGTCAAGTGGTCTGAGAGCCACAGTGAAAGGGCAGTTAAAAGGATTATTGAGTATCTAGGTAGACTGGGATGAACCAGATGCCTTGGTGTGGAAAAGTTCAGGGGCTGGGTTCAAAAACATCATCTTATTTTTTTAGAAGTTCAGGTCCCATAACCCCATCCTATGTACATTCTTTTTCCTTGAGAGCCAAAAGAAACCCCAGTACACTCATGCTCTTATATCCACCACACACCCCAATACTTTGCCTGATTCATTCATTCAGTTAATACACACTTATCAAGTATCTATTAGGTGCCAGGCACTATGCTAAGTGTTGGGGATGCAAAAAAAAAAAGAAGCAAAATATTGTCCTTATTCTCAATGGGTTCTCACAGTTTATGAGTCTATCTGTTACCTAGAACTCTCCTTGGGAATAGTAGATTTCATATCTATTGCACTGTGAAGATTGTGCATAAGCTCAGGACTCTCTAACTAGTGGGCAAAGTTCCCAGGGGATGACTCATTACTTCTCCCTTCTGGGTTGTGGATCTCACAGGACACTTCATGAATGGACCTAGGAAATAAAATTTGAGTCCTGGGGAGATTCTAGACCATGGTTTTTCAGCTTCTCAATGAAGCTACCTGTTCAGATGCGCTCTCATTGTTAGTGGAGAGAAACAACATAATGGCAAGGGAAGAAGGGGATGAATTCTTTGAAGTCTGATCTTATTGTTTTGGTTACCCATTAGACTTGAGGAAGGAACTGTGGATTGTGACCTGTAGTTAATAGAAGTAACACCCACCCCAATGAGTAACAGGTCCTTGAGTAGAGAAATAAATATACAACCCATAGCTTTTTATTATTTTAGATTATTGGTCTCCTTGTTGCCAGCTCTGAACTTGGCAAGTGTTGAAAGTGCTGATGGGAAATGAACAAATTTTCAAGTTCTGTGTTTGTGGGAATATTGACATTATAATTAAGTTCTTTCTTGTCTTTCTTTACCCTTGTTGATTATATTTTTTCTCTCCTATGACTAGAATTCTATGTTCATTCAACTCATAAATCTACATGAGGAATAAATTTCCTTCCCATCTTGTATTAAAATTCTGGCTCTGACTTGGGCTTTTGAGTAGGGAGGGATCATAACATCATAGATTGAAAACTTCAAGGCAGCTCTCCCCCACCCCATTTTTTTAGCATATTATTATAAAATACCCTCAAAATTATTGGAGTGTAGAGAATTGTGAGGGTTATGTGTAACTTTTCTATATCCTTGAAAGACAATTGCATTGGTCATGGTTAACAACTTCATATCCTGGGCTTACATGTTGTTTTCTTTGTGTCAAGGAGAAAAAATTCTTCTTGTGTCTGTGAATAGACAAATCAGCCATTGTAGACTTCATTGGTGTGTTAGTGTTGTTCTCCTGTGCCTTGTCAGACTCATCATCATATATCTACTCAATGACCACATTAATCTCCAAGAAGGGAATCCTCCAACTTCCTAGACTTGGAAATCTCATTTTCACTTGAACTAAATCTGTTAGGCACCTTTTCAATTTGCTCTTAAGGTTCAGTCAGTTTTGTTGTGAGAACATCTTACCTTGCTGCCATTTTGTGCTATAGTTATAGGGAAATTGATCTATTTTAAGTCTCTCTGGAAAAAAAAAAGGAACTCAATTCAATTTAATTCACACTTGAGTGATAGTTGCTGAGGATATAAATTTAGAACAATTCTAGGGTCTACTTTTCCTCAATTTGCATTTTCTTTAGTGGGACGAGTTCCCAAAGGATTCTGCCCTGAGGTTTCTAGAGGTAGCCCTGAGAGGGTAGGGACTCTTATTGTTCATGAACCCTCATCTACGGTGCTCTCCACTGGCTATTGTCCAGAGTTAACTACCTTTTAGGAAAAAGTATGTAGTAAGCAGACATAACAAGGTCACTTATTACATAAATAACCCCCCCCCAAGCCAAGTGTACACTCTCCCCTTGCATAACAAGTTCCCTGGGGTGAGCAGGTCCAAACTTAAGAGAGCACCTCTGGCCAAAAGGTAAACTCACAGCTCCTGGTAATTGGGCATCTTTTTCTCCCTTCATGGAGACCTCATGAAGTTTCCTTCAAGTTCAGTTCTCTGCTGAGTTCTGAGAGTTGGAGCCCTTGTTGAATTTTGTAGCTGCCTTTCTCAGTGTGTTTAATCTGTCTGTGGTATGTCTCTCAGTTCCAGATACAGAAACTGCCACCAGCCACCAGCTCTGTGGACACTGCTACCAACTCCCATTAATAATGGGACTTATGATGGCTCCCAAGAATCACCTTCCTTCCCCTCAGGGGCTTGGCTACAGCTGATCTACCACTAGAATGTCCTGGTGTTGGAATGTTTGCTTATGAATTAGATTGTTGTGCTAAAAACAGGCCCAGGGATATGTCTGATTTTTTCCCCAGGCAATAATAAGAAATTTCCCCTGTAGTGTCACCTCCCTTTATCCAATGATAAAAGTACTTCATTCCTCCCAAATTGCTTAAGTTGTTTGTGCCTAATTTATACCTTTTACTGATTCAATGAAGAAGTCTAGGCCTTCTATGTTTTCTTTGATTGGGGTCGGGGTAGAAGCCACCATTCTTACACAGAGATAGAAAAGGATGCAGCCCAGATCTTTCAAGAAGCTTATAGCTCAATGGGGGCAGATACAACATAGACTCTGATACAAGGTAGGTGGTAGGAGAAAATGAGAGCTCAAGACAAAATGATCTAAGGACATTTGGGAGGCATTATGGTTCAATTAATTTGGAGTCAGTCCAATTCTGCCTCTGATATTCACTAGAGCTATGATCATGGAAAAATAATTTCTCTTCTCTTAATCTCAGTTTTCTTGTCTGCAAATGGGGATAATAATTAATACTTACGGTACTTGCCTTACTGGGTTGTTTCAAAATTCAGATATAGTATATGTAAAACTCTTTGTCATAAATGCCATTTATTATTAACTTCAGGAGGTGATTGGTCACTTGAGCTGGCATGACTGGGAAGGCTTCATGGAGGAGATGGCACCTAAGCTAGGACTTGAAGGAAGACAAGGATTTCAACAGACAGAGGTGAGGAGGAAGGACATTTCACAATATATGCCCTCTATAGGAATGCATTAAGATGGGAAGGGACAGAACAAGATGGGGCAAGAGCTAGTAGCTCCAATTGCCTACACTCTGCCATGTGTGAAGGGGAAAAGCCTGGTAAAAGGCTAGAAAGGTAGATGGGCATCATATCATAGAGGACCTTAGATGCCAAGCTAAGAGGTTTGTGTTTTCTTCTGTACAGTAGGGAACCACTGGAGGTATTTGAGGGAAGGAATGATATAGTTAGACCTGTGCATTAGGCAGGCAGGTAGGAAACAAACATTTATTAAACACCCTCTATGTGCCAAGTACTGTGCTAAGTACCTTACAACTATGATCTCAGTTTATTCTCTCAACAACCTTGGGAGGTAGGGGCTATTATTATCCCAATTCTATAGTTGGGATAACAGGCAAATAGAAGTTAAGTAACTTGCCCAGGACTACACAGGTAGTGTTGAGGCTGGATTTGAACACAGGTCTTCCTGCCTCCAGGCCTGGCACTCTACGCACTGCACCACCTAGCTGCAGGAAAACTATAGGAACACTATTTTCGCAGCATTGGAAAGTGGGAAGGCCAGAGGCAGGGAGGCCAATTTGGAGGCTATTGCAATAGGACTTCCATAGAAGTGGGCTGGCCAGCAACACTAATAGCAATAGATCTTTATTTGGGGCCTGTTTTAACTCTCGCAAGGGAAAAGCACAAAGTCCAATCTTGCCCCGATCCAGAAGCCACAGGGATGCCACAGACACCTAACATGTATCTGATTGAAATGCCCCAGTATTTATATAGCTAAGTGTAACAATTATGAAAGCTCTTTGCCTCAGGGCCTGTAATGTACAGGAAAGATAAGATTAAGGAATGGGCCTGAAGTAAACTCTTCTCAGCTCCCTCTGGCCCTAACAATACTGTATATGGACAGGGCAGAAGGGGGGAGGGGGGAGGGAAGGGGGAGAATAAGGGTGGGAGGAGAAGTTAAAGTAGCATCCAGGGATAATTCCAGAGGAGTCCAGGATGCACCTAAGCCTTCCTATCCAGGTTTGACCCACCTTTTGATGGTTTTCTGAACTCTCAGGTGCTTACCTTTACTGACCATTAAGGCAAAACTTGAGCCCCTGTGGGGCCCTCCTCCCACCAGTCCTACTAGGGATTAGGAAGTGAAAAGTATGCTTCACAGACATGAAGACCCTCTGTTTTCTGTGTCTAGTGTGGATAGGCCAGCATTCGACTCAGCTCGGTGCCTGTGAAAATCGCCATATCAAGAAGCCTAGCTGTTCCCTTGCCAGAGGGCAGAGGAGTAGAATGGCCTGTGCTTGAGCTGGGTGGTCTGACTCAGAGGTCCCCTGAGAAGGATTTTACTTGCTTGTCTCCAGTGGCATAAAGAACACAACAAGCTGAATGATATGCTGCCAGGTTAGTCCCTAAGAAACCAAATGCAATAAAGGACGCCAGGCCAGGGGTGTGATGGTATGTGCCTGCAAACCCTGCTAATGGGAAGTCAAGACAGGTGAATCACTGATACCCAGAAGTTCGGAGCTGCAGTAGGTCTAAAGCCGATTGGACATTCGCACTAAGTCTGGTCCTAATATTGTAAGTCTCAGAGAACGTGTGGCTGCCAGGCTGCCAAAGGAGGAGGTGAACCAGTCCCGGCCAGGAATAGAGCAGGTAAAAGCTTCTGCACTGAGAAGCAATGAGATCAGGCCTGTGAGTGGTCACTGCACTTCTAGCCTGGGTAAGACAGGGAGACCCAATCTCAACCCCCTCCCCAAAACAAACAAACGAATAAGCAAGCAAACAAAAATGACTGACGTGCTATTTGGTAAAAACATAAAATGTTATTCATGTTGATATCTGATGGCTCTACACTGTCATAATGTTCAACAACCATGGGTCCAAATGCATAAAATAATTGATAGTGATTGTGTCTAAGAGGGAGGGGGTGCCTCAAAGTCTCTGGTTATATTTGTCTTTCTGCACATATGGGAGGCCTGCAGTGCAAGAAGACCTTCTTTAGCATAAGAACAAATGTGTTCATCTTCCATAGAAGGAGATGGAATGTGCTTATATTATAGCTAGGGGTATTTGGGCAGACCTCTCCTCTTTTTTGGCCCACAATTAAAATTTTAAGTGGACATCCTCCACTAAGAGAATGTGGCCATGGAAGCAGAGTGACTCATTCAGGATGCTTAGAAAGAGCAAAGTTACACATTTTCAATGCTTTTCACCTTTTATATTCCCCCCGCCCCAACTCTGTGTTGTTGGTAAAAAAGCAAGTTCCTCAAAGAGGTGTGAATTAGAATTCTAATAATTCTATTATATGCCAGGAGTCAGTCAGTCTCCATTCATTTCAAAATGTGCACAGCCCTGCTAAGGAACAATAGAAAGGCCCCACTTAAGGAGCCAGAGGGGGAAAAAAATGGGACCAAACTTGAGTCTTTCATGTCATGAGTTACAGAAATCTGAACAGAGAAAGACAAGAACTTGTTAAAGTGACAAACAAGATAAGAACCATTTCAAACTGAAACAGGCCAGCAAGAAATTGGAAAGGACAACAGACACATGTGACTGTCAAGAGCTGAACATGTATTTGAAGTGATACCTTGGTTCTCACAGGGAGGTTAGGGGTACTAGAGATACTGAGGAAATGAGCTCCCAAGGTGATCACTTGCAGCGTGCAACAGCTTTCCCAATTATCTTTTGTCTGGGCTGGGCTACTCAATTATCAGGGCATATTACTGCCTCCTTCCCTTGCCCAGTCTCAGAAGGTCACAGGGCAATAACAGATGCAATGAAAAATAAAGCTGCCTGGTGGTGTTTGAATGATACTAAGAAAAGGACCTAAGAGACCTGGAAAAGGTAAAGCAGCTCAGGGCAGGTAAATGCTCATTAAGGGCTATGGTAGTGCTCAGCACTTTTTTTCTTTTTTTTGCTTTTTAGGCAATTGGGGTTAAGTGACTTGCCCAGGGTCACACAGCTAGTAAGTATTAAGTGTTTGGTCTGAGGCCACATTTGAACTCAGGTCCTCCTGACTTCAGGGCTGGTGCTCTATCCACTGTGCCACCTAGCTGCCCCACCCAGCATCCTCATTCACTCTCTCCCCTATGTGAGATAATCTTAGCAAGTATTAAGAAAAACAAACTGAATTCCATCCTTTCATTAAAACACCACCTGACCTGGGTCATAATTGGAACAAAGGGTTCTCTCTGGAACAAACACATTTTGCCTCTGGGAATTACTATATGATGTATAGTCAGCTCCAATTTTCCTTCCTTTGGAATCCTCATCCCTTGCCCACAAGCATATGCAGAAATCCCATGTGAACAAATGAACAAAAAACAAATCCACTGAGCTGTCTTTTTGAATGACATGTAATTTATTCATATAACTGACAATTACTTAGTCAGTACTCAAAAGTCAATTTCATATGCCAGTGATTACACAAACTTCTAATAATACTAAAATTGATAGAAGGTATAAAATACCATGGGTATGAAATGCCATGGTAAACACCAGTTGACAGACTACATGGTCATCATTCCAAACTAAATGGGAGAAGGTGGGGAGAGGTTTAATGATTTTACTTTTATTTTCCCATTTTAATTATTACCAGTTTGGGAATCTGTTTTTTCCTCTCTTTTAAGTAGCATCCCATGATAAAGGATTAAACTTTTAATTTAAAGCAAAAACTGCAGAAAGGAATCTTTTAGGTTTCTCCTTTGCCACCAATTTCCACGCACAATATTAGTGTGCACTGCCTCCTGACACACACAGGAAGCTGTCCCATTCAGCACTCAGTTCCCCAAACACAGGAGTTTGGATCAGACCCAGGCTGCAGACTAAGCCTAAGTGTCAGCAGGAATCAGGCAGTGGAAAAACCCTTTGGAAGGGATACATCTTTTGTTAGCGTTCAGGCATCACAGATGGATTTAGGCCTCTCAGCCGATGAAGTAAGATACTTTGATATTTAGATGGCTATGACATGGATCATGACTAGGAGACATCACAATGGAATTCTGCCTTCTTTTAAATGGATAGTCCCTACAAAAGCTTGCGTCTGGTAAGACTCATTACATTTTCATGAAGCACAACTAAGCTTGCAAGGAAGAGTTTGGCTTATCATGTCTGCCTGCGTTACATTAAAGTGATATACTTCATTGGAATGAGGCCCAAGCATGGACTTGGCTTGAAATGCCAATAGCAGCAGTCAAAAAAAAAATATCAATAAGTTAAAAGGCTTTCACAGTACAAGATTCAGCTAGTTATTTCACATATACAAAACACAGCTATAGAGAAATACAATTCTTTGATGATGAATTATGAGGGGGGGAAATAATCTAAAAAAATAGAAAAAACTCTCTTCATACTTAGATGTCAAGATGTAACACTGCAAATTGCCACAATATGAGCACAAATTTGATGGCAGATCCCCTAGAAATGTGTCTGGGGATCTGATACATATAATAACCAAAATAGATAAAAATACTGCACCAAAAAGCATGCATACAATTGCCATGTTCATTCAGTATGGGAGTTGTGACATAAGCAGAGCTCTAACACAATAAGTGAGGCAGTGTTCCAATATTTTCCAGTAGAATAATAGTGATTGACTACATATTGATTAAACCTTCTGAGGCAGCAAAGTGGGGGCATAATGCCATGTCTGGATTCTGCAGCTGTTTTAAGATCCTCTTGCGGAATTTTTCCCGCACACGATTGAACTCCATTATATCCATGGGGTCCTCTTCAATCCAAAACTTATGAAATTCATGCATCAAATAACCTGGGAGAGAGAAAATTACATTAAAAAAATGTGGGAAAAGTCCTCCCATTAATCTCTAATTCAAAATCATCTTGTTTGCCTGAGATGGGGGATAAAACCACAGTGACAGTATATTTCTTCCATAGTATAGGACTTATTCATAAAATGGATCAGACTATATCAAGGAATAAAGAGTTACTGTTGGACTGATATGGACTGATCCATGAATTCATCAGGATGGGTATTCCTCTTCTACCATTGCCTACCTATGCTATACAGGTCTTATTCATGGGTTCCCTTTAAGTCCTCTAAAGAAATTCTACTAAATCTATTGAAGGTCTTCTGTTTAAAAAAAAATCTCATGGGTTATCAAATGGTTATCAAATATAACTTTATGAGCCCTTAGATGGATCTGTGATGGCATAGATGTGGGTAGTTTCTCCAAAGGTGCAGTGTGTGAGTCATCCATGTCTTTTAATCCTATGTGACTTGTCTATTTCCTCCCACAGATGATCCCCAGCAGACCTTCCTCTATAACAGTGCTTCTCAAACTTTTTGGTCTCAGGACCTCTTTACATTCTTAATATTATTGAGGATCTCAGAGAACTTTTATTTATATGCATTTTATATCTATTGATATTTACTACATTATAGAAATTTAAACTAATAACATTAAAATATTTATAAATTCATTTAAAATAACAATAAACTCATTCCATGTTAACAAAAATAACACATTTTAAGTTAAAAATAACTAAGTTTACCAAAACAAAAAAACCATTATTTTAACACGTGGTACAGTGGATAAGAATGTTGGATTTGGAATCAGAAAGACTTCAGTTCAAATTCAGCCTCAGATACTTATTCTTTGCGTGACTCTGGGCAAGACAGTTATTATCTCAGCCTCAGACTCCTTATCTGTAAAATAGGCATAGTAATAACACTTATCCCATAGGGTTGTTATGAAGATCAACTGAGATAACATATATGGAGTGCTCTGCAAATCTTAGAGTCCCTCACTATATAAATGCCAGCTATTTATTATCATGACCATTATTATTGCATTTTTGCAAATTTCTTCAATATCAGGATTAATAGAAGACAGCTGAATTCTCATATGTGCTTCTGCATATAATTTGTTGCTATATATTGCTTTGGTTGAAGGATATGAAGAAAATATGGCTTCACATAAATATGTAGCTGGAAAAGGGAATATTATGTTAATAGGTAAGTAACATCTCAGCATTATTATGAAAATGGTCTTGACCTTGTGGACTCCCTGAAAGGGCCTTGGGGACACTTGGAGAACTACTGTACTAGACTATGCTTCCTATCACCATATCACATTATCAGAAGACTAGTGACATGAAAAAAATGAGTATTTCAGATGAGAATCTAAAGTCATTTTTTTGAGGCAATTGGGGTTAAGTGATTTGCCCAGGATCACACAGCTAGCAAGTGTCTGAGGCTGGATTCGAACTCAGGTCCTCCTGACTCCAGGGTTAATGCTCCATCCACTGTGTGACCTAGCTGCCCCCAAGTCTAGAGTCATCAAAAGCATTGTGACATTTTCTCAAAGCAATTCTGCCCATGCTCCTCCTCTTGTTCAATTCTGGGGTCAGTTCACTGTCTATATCCACGGTGCCTGTCTACGATATATGTACTAATGAAACATTTCTATGGACTCTACTCACATATATATCACACTCTCAACAATATATACTCTTCATTCACTTATATTTTTCTGTATAGAGAGGTCAAACTCTTTAGTGATCATGGATTTCAATTTAGGAGGCTCTGTAGCGTTCTATAGCAGGGCTTCTTAAACTTTTTTCACTTGTGACCCCTTTTTACCCCAAAATTTTTTACCTGCCCCTGGGTATATAGGTATATAAAATAGGCATACAAATCAAACATTTACTGATAGTAAATCATAAAGAAATTTATTTTAAAACAATTCTTTGGTATATGTATAATTTTACTATTTATAAAAGATGAAAGCAAATTCACATACTAATGAGATGGATGTGTTTGTTTATTTTTATGGTAGCAAAATATTAAATGTCTTTATTTTCTATAATTAAACTATTACGTTTCTGTAAGAACAGAAAACTTTGTATGTACAGTAAAAACACTGCAATTCATGACACGCAATAGCATCTAATCTGAGCCAAGGTGTTTCTGGCAGCATTTGTCAGCATTGCATAGTGTGATGGCATACGTAGAGCAAAGTGCACATGTTTTCTTTAGAACCAAGGCTGCAGTGAAGTTATGCGATGCCATACAGGCAAGTGCTGCCAGAAACACCTCAGACTCATTATGTGTTTGATTTTGAATTAATTTTTGATCATTAAGCATTTAGAAACCTTTTACTGTTGCGAAATTTTTCATGACTCTCATATGGGGTCATGACCCACAGTTTAAGAAGCGCTATTCTATAGCTTGATGCAATTAGCACAATGTTTTCTACTAAATGAAGCATTGGGAAGCCTTCCCTACAGGCAGAGAATCCTTCCATTTGTACTCTGTACTTGATATTCTCTATGACAGTGGCAAACACTTCTGATGAAAAATTTCTCCCTGTTTTATTCTTCACAATAATTAGAGGGCTGTTAAGTAAAGGTATCTCTGTTATTACAGTTTTCAAAGAATCTTTTATGAACCTATGACATACACATGGAAGGCCTATTTTTTGGAGGAAAGACTTAAGGGGACATATCATGCTACATAATCAAACTTAAAAAAAAAAAGCTGTCAAACAATATACACCATGTGATCTTCTATTCTCTAAACGTTTCAGCAAATTTTGTGACTATAAAAATGTGGTTTGCTGTAAATGTCATTTTCAAATATCTACCTATTCCCTTCTCATACTTATTGCCATAAAGATTTTAAAAGGATGGAAAGTATGCATGGGGGTCAATGGTTAAGGATCTTCTCTTGGCCACCCTTTTTAAGGTAAAAATGAGGTCTATGATTGTTCTTGAGTGTATTGTACTCCCCAGCCCCATTTCAGATATCTTAGGAATCAATTCCTCAATTCCCTTAAAATTATGTTACCTCCCCCCATGGATTTATCTAGCTGCTTACTCCATCTTTATTTCCTTTAGTGGAAACTAATTTCCTTTAGTGAAAACTCTTCATAGATTATGATGTTTAGAGTCCAAGTGTGGTAGCCCCACTGTTACTGATGGTGAAATGAGTTTGTCATATAAATATTTATAAATCTTTCTAATATTTTGTTCATTATCTTAATTTTATTCTTAAATGCTTTCATGAAGATCTGGTTTAATTCAGTCTTTCATCAAGTTTTCTATAAACTTTTTTTTTCTTTAAGCATTCTCACTTTTTTATAAGATGATAATACTAATAGTCTTCCATCATTCCCTTTCCTAAGTTTAAATTCTAAACTTGTGCTGCCTTTGGCTGTCACATGTCTGTGCTTGGCAAGGAAATAAAATGTCAGTTGGTTGGTGTAATTTTTGGAATTTTTTTGGTCTTATTTTTGTGTCAATTGATTTTTATCCATTTAATTTCCTTAGGAAATGATGATGGTCTATTTCTCATTTTTCATTGTCATCAGCTTATTTAAAGAAGCCAGATTAGAGTCACATCACCTACATGCCATATCTTAGATTCTTTTTACATTGTTTCTTCTAGCTCGATATTAATTTTAATCTTTGCTCTAATAAGTTGATAGTCTGATGGTATACCAACAGCTTTACTGGCAATGACCATCACATTGATAACCACTTATTTCCTGTCCATTAAAATATAATTAATTTAATTTTTTTGTGATAATATTTGGTACTCACCAGATATGTAAGCATGAAGCTTCTGAATTGTCCACACTTGCCCTCTCATTTCTTATTCTTAAAGCATGGTTTTCAATGTATCTTTCACAGTCCTCCCTATGCCCATCTTTGCACTGAAGTAATTATCAATGAGCTTATTAATATAATTTAGAAATTCTTACCAAGTTCTTCATAGAATTTCTCTGCCTCCTTACCCTATCCATCAGATGTTGGCATAAGGTACCATCATTTTCATAGAAGCTTTTTTGTAAATAATTATCATGAACATTGCAATATAATATGACTAAATGGCCATGAAATGTTTCTTGTTGCCTTTAGGTGCAAGATATGATCAACTCCACCAGCTCCTCTATTTTCCTTCCCAGAAGAAGCTGTGAATCATCTTTCTGTTTACTGGAAACTCTCTTCTGTCCTTCTGGTTTCATTTATAGCAAGAATGAAAAAATCATTAAGATTCTATTTTTGCAATAACATTTCCACTTAATAGGCAAAGTTCTCACACTTTGAGTACCAACAGTTAAATTAATGTTGAGAGAAATTATTATTTCTCTCAGATATTAATAACCAATTACTCAGTTAGGACTAAGGTTTTTCCCTTTTCTATTCCCTCATTCAGAAATCAGCTCCTTTGTACTTATTTGGCCAGCATCTGAAGGACATCACAGATAATGAGACTGGATTAACTTTCTCTTCAATCTTGTTCAGACCCCACCCAAGTGGGGAAGCCCATTGTGTTCTATTCAGATCCTTTGTGCAGACTGCCAGGGGCTGGGGGTGGTCTGAGAGTAAAAGTGACACAATCAAAGTCATGTTTCCCCAACCTGTCATTAGAATAGGCCCACATTCATTCTTCTTATTGGTAACCAATCAGAGTTGATTGCCACCTGTCATAAACACCCACTCTTCTAAAGGCATATAAGTATCAAGAAGCTGCCATGATCCATCTTTGGTTCCTGAAAGATGGCCAAATGACCAATCTTTTTTATTATTTTTACTAATTTATTATTCACCAGACATAATTAATAAAATGATTAATTATTCAGAAACTATTACTCTTGAACTTTTCATTTGTTACATTTATAGATGATTTAAAAACTGTGATTCTTAGCATTCTCTGTCCCCTTTACTGATATTCTGCCACCATCAGCACAGAAACAAAAGGTGACTGCAACAGGTCTAAGGATCATTTTGCAATTTTTTTTTTCATCGGTTGCCAAGGCCAAAGAATTCATCACTAACTCATTGATCTACTGGTGATATCTCTCCATGCATATGTCAGGCAGTGCTCTGAAAACACTCTGTTGTTGAAGTCTTCACAGTGGTATTTGTGTTTCATTGGCATGGCCAATGAGAATTCAGGGTAAACTTCTTGACAGGAAACAGCAGAGCATGACTTAATGAAGACCTTTAAACACAATTATTTAAAATATAGTTTCTCTTAAAAATTAATAATTGAACATTGCCTTTACAGGAGGTCATAAAATTATTACAATTTCTTTTATAGTAGGACACATATATTTTGTGACCTCTAGACTATGGATTATATTTGGAATAACTTCTGAAGGACCAATAACTCTAGTTCATCTTTTTCATCCTAACTAAATTAAAATAATGGTCTAATTTTTCAAAATTAGTAAGTTTTCTCTCTTGACATTTGCTTGATTGAAATTTTAAATTATACTTGGACAGATAAAAAATCATTCTGACAATCTATTAAGAGAAAGTAAGAGAGGTACTTCCACCATGAACAGTACAGAGCAGTCATTAAGAAACACATAATTGCTAGCAAGACATCAACACTATAAAGTATCATTTGTTCATTCTCAATTACCCTTTTGATCCAAAAAAATTACTTATAAAATCATGATCTAGATTAGAAAACCTCTTAGAAGAATACATTATAAATGCTTAACAAAAGAGCTCTTTCATTTTGCTCCTTTTTAAATTTAAAATTCATATGTGAGTAGTTAAAATAAAGATAAAGGCATTTTACTTAGTAAACTTACAGAATGTTGAGGTAATTTTAACCACTTCAGAAGTCTTCATTTTAAGAAATTATCCTAGCTAGAACTTCCAAAAACCATCACGGTACAGAAGTGACTCGGAATTCTCAAAGACTATATTCTAGTGCAGTGGTTCTTAAGTGTGGCCTGTGCATCTCTAGGGATCCCTTTCAGGGGGGTCTCTGAGGTCAAAACTATATTAATAATAATATTAAGATGTTTTAATTTCTAACATGTAAATATTGATAGGTATTGCTCACATAAACAAAAATTCTTTGGGGATGTTCTCCATAATTTAATGTGTGTAAAGGGGTCTTGAAACCAAAAAGTATGAGAACGGCTGCTCTAGTGGAACCCTAGCTCAGGAAGCTTTTACCATGTTGGAATGGTTTCTATTACAGGGCCTGAGACTGGCTGTCTGCTGTCCAGTGATAAGCCTTGATAATCATAAAGGGGTTCAACATTAGTAGATTGGCCTCTAGATGATGAATTTTTTGGCTATAGAGATCCATGAAACAAAATTTAAACACACACACACACATATACACACACACAGTATATGCGCACATATACATATGTGAATATATGTACACATGTATTTTGTATGTGTGTATATACAAGTATGTTTATATAATATTACCAAATGAAATTAACCATACTATCATGAATATCATCACCAAAAGTGAAACTAGAAGACTTAAGGAATTTGTAGCTAAAGGTAAGTGATAGCTCATAAGTCTTATTTGGAGAGACAAAAATTTGGGTTTATAATATGCCCAAAGTTCAAAAAATTAAAAGGAAAAAATTAGAAGTGGTGATGGTCCTGGGCCTATGATTTCATTAGTGTAGTGAAAAACATAGATTTTATCTATCAATGTAGATTTGTACCTACACAACAATAGGCTGTCTTTAACAAATTGAAGCAATAGGCTCAAATAAAGTAGCAACCAACATTAACAAGCAGTATAAAAAATCACTTACAGAAAGTTTGCTGGAAGTGAGACAAGGTTGGGGCTTCAGGTGCAACATTATAGAAATGGGTTTTCAGAGCGCCGCTTACCAGCAGGTTATAGGCTAGGTCAGTAATATTAATGCCCACAATGGCAAAAGAGTACCTGTAAAAAGCCAACCACACTATTTACTTAACATTAAATATTGGGGCTTAGCACATGAGAAAAGGATATGGTGATTTTTTTCTTTTTAAAGGCAATATAGTTAAACTTATTTCTCAGGTGGACAGATTCCTCCTTTCTTAAACACTATGGGTTTAACAAATGGACTTTTTTCCCACATGACTGCTGAGGACAAGTTTTTGCTCCTTGGCTTCTGTCCACTGAAACGAAGAGGAAACTAGCTTGGAGAGCCTCAAATGTCCAAGGCTATCTCAGTCCTACACAAGATTAAAAACTTCCCCTTCAGAAATAACTTTAGAATTAAGAGCCAGGCCATCTCCAGTCATCCTGACCTATATCTTGCTGCTGGACCCAGATGGCTTTGGAGGAGAAAGTGAGGCTGGTGACTTTGCACAGCCCTTCCTTACTTAAATCCAATTCACTTGCAAGTCATGGCATGGCCTTCCTGGTATCATGGTCCTCTTCTAGAACTAAGGACAAACAACAGAGTTAAGGACCATTCCAAAGTCATTGTAATCAAAGCCCAATAGCCTGGCAACCTCTTGAAATGAATTTTACAAGTAGACCAGTTTTATTTACTAGCAACCTAACATTTGAGTTATGCAAATTCAAAAAGAGGGGTTTTTGAAAAAAATTAATGTATATTTATAACTTTCTATATATTTCTACCTAGGCAAAGTATGATATGCTACTAAAAATGTTTTCAAAACCTTTAAATGGACTTCTGTAATTCTCTTAGTTTCTAAGGACCAGGATTTTGATTTTGAACTTCTTTTTTAACTTCTACAGTCCTTAGTGTAGTGCCTTATATGTAGTAGGTTCTCAAAAAACAACCACATGATTTCTAATTCCATAAAATGACAACTTTTGTACAAAATTACAGACTTACCCAATTGCTTTATCCAACCTTTTCTTTTCCCATTCTGCTTTGCTGAATTTGCTGAAAAATTAAATTGTCTCTAATTGATATATGTCCTTTTCCAATGTTCTTCACATTAAAATATTAACCAGAATACTGTTGTGGTGTCTGTAACCCAACCATAAAATCTTTCATTTTTCATTTAGAATTAAATGTACTTTTAAATTCATGGTTAATTTCTATGGACATCTATGCAATGAGATACGTTTCACACTTCTAACACAGATACTGAATTCACTCTAGTGTGGGATAAAAAAACAATCCTGATGTCTACCTATTAAGTTATTCTCTCAGAGGATGATAATTTGTTCTAGAGAAGCTAATAGTGCACCTGGCACAATTGAATTATTGTAGTTAAACAAAACAATTATGCATAGCTTTTACTTAACATTGAAAAGGCATGGAGTTAGTGCTGTTCCCTGAAACAATTCAACATTCCAACAGAACTGCTATTTCAGTGCTGTGGGCATTCCTTCAACCAACATTCTTTTACGCCTTAATGGATGTTTTCATGAGTTGCTTTGGCCAAAATAATTCATTACCTATTAGCTTTCCTTCTGCTGATAACGAATCTTTTTGTACTTAACTAGACTGGTCTTTAGATGACAGGCATATACTCTCAGGAATAATAAGATCATTGATTAGAGCTGGAAGGGACCATTAGAAATGATCTAGTACAAACACATGCTTTTATAGATGAGGAAATGGAGGCCTAGAGAGGTTAAAGTGAATTTGTTCAAGGTAGCAAAGTTACTAAGTCCAAGACTGGTATTTCAACCCAGGTCTGTTTATTCCAAATCTGGCCTTCTTTCCATCCACTATAAAGCCTTTCTGGTAAGATCTGCCTCAGCCTGCATTCTTCTGGCTCTAAGAACCCAGGGTCACTTCTATCACAATGAGGCATTAGACGAAAATGTTAACAGAGACTCTAAAACATCCTGCATTTTAGAACACACACATACATATACATATGCACATACATATACATATGTACACACCCACACCCGCACCCACAATACACCCACATACAAACACATATGCACCGAAACCCTGCCCCCCCCCATATATACACATATAAAATGCTACTAACACAAGCCAGCAGCAACACACTCTCAAGTGGTGGGTGAAGCAATATTTTGTCACTCTACCTTAATGTATTCACTTTCTATTCCTGTGAGCGAACTGCTAACTACAATTTAAAGTAAATTTATAACATGTGTCAAAACAAGTTATAGCTTTTCAGAGCAGAAGCACCTACATCGTAAACAGAAAATGAGCAAAAGAAGCTCTTGTTCTAAGTTAAATAAAAAATAAGATAAAATTTGGCTGAAATTTAGAGAAGCATCTTGGGTAAAGATTTGTATATGTGGTTCCCTCCCTCTGTGGAAAAATCACATAAATAAGCAGTGTGGCCCCCACCACACTTATCAAACTGAAATTCTGTTAGCACTAGAAAAACAAGAAAGGGTCATTTGCCAAGCTGAGAAAAATCCATCCTACGACTCTAAGACGCCATAAACCAAACAAGAGGGCCAGCCATGAAGAATATCTTCTCATTCTATTCAGACACCAACCAAACAATGGCTAGGAGGAAAATTTCCTCTTGACGGATATAAACCTTTTACTCTCATTCCTCAAGCTACCGTAGAATCTGTGGGATGGAAGCACACAGAGCAGTCTTGCACAATTCCTATGTACTGAGGATGACACACGTTCAAAGCAATGCTTTTTCCTGGCTAGACTATTGTCTCCCTGTCCAAAACCCTCAGGTCTGGGACTTCACACTAGTTGTGCTGACAGCCTGGATGCCCGTACTCCCATTGTTAACAAGACCAGTGACTCTTAAAAGGCTATCTTCTATTTTGTATTTGGTCATATCCAGCAACCTGTCTACACAATCCATACATTAT